GGGGCTCTGTCTCAAAAAAAAAAAAAAAAAAAAAAAAATAAAGTAACATTCAGATTTCCATGTTCATCTTTGTGGACATCCAGTGGCAATGGAGACGCCAGATGGACCCCATTCTGTGAACAAATTTGGTACATCACAGCCTGTAATCTTGTACTGAGAAATATTATAATTACATACAGCAAAAGCCTGGAGTAAGCCTATTATCTCCTCACACCACCACTGGAAAGCCTTCTCACTTTAATCCCCAGGGTAACACTGATCACGTGTCACACTACAGTATTATCTATTCAATGGATCATCACAAAAATGATATTTATAGAAAAACATTTTTAAGTGAGAATACTTGTTGCAGTGTTAAGACAGAATAAAATTTTGTTAGATATTACATCTTGTATAAATACAAAAACTGGGGCAGATAAATGACATATACCCTTCCCTCCCACTGTTAGCTGAGTTTGCTGTTGATATCATAGCTTCTCATGTTTTCTTCTATTTCATTCTGCCAAATTTTCAGACAAGCATTCTTTATCACAGTGGCGTGTACACACTCACATACGTGCACATATGTGAGGCTATTACTTAGAACGGGCAAAAAAATAATCTTTTCTAAAATATTCTAAGCAAAAAAGATTTTTAAAAACCTCTGTTTTGGACAGGTATTGGTGGTGTCTTTCACTGTGTTTGGAGGACTGATGGCATTTAACTACAACCGTGCACTCCAAGTGTGGGCAATCCCTCTGCTGTTGGTAGCTTTCTTTGCATACTTAGTAGCCCACAGTTTTTTATCTTTGTTTGAAACTGTGCTGGATGCACTTTTCCTGTGTTTTGCTATTGACCTGGAAACGAATGATGGATCATCAGAAAAGCCCTACTTTATGGACGAAGAGTTTTTGGTAAGCAGACATCTCCTTTCCTGTTATAGTCCCCCTCGTCACAATCCCAAGTTTTGAAGATTCACGCAGAGGAGGTTCTGTGCCCAGCTTTCACTTTCTCTTCCTGAGGGCTCTGTGGGTCCTGCTACCGTGTGGCCTGAACGTCCTGAGGACAACTTGAATCAAGAGTCCTCAGTAGGAGCAGTAGCACTCCTGCCCTGGGTGGCAGGTATCTGGACACAGTAGGAGTCCAAGTCCCTTTGGTGCTAATGGCACGGTGGTCGGGAAGTGTAACCATTGACCTTTTAAGCATTTTTGTGTCCTCAAGCATCATGTCATAAGGCTGGATTTCGGGGAGGGCACACTCTAGTGTAGACTCATCAGCTTTGGTGCCAGGATCACAGATCTGCACTTCTCCGGCCCTTTATTCACCAGGCCACACCCTGTCCCCAGCGTGAGCCCAGCCCCCACACTGCTTCTATCTGGAAGTAGCAGGCAGCTGTTTGTAACAGCTTTCCCAGCAGTTGGTGCTTGTTTACTTTATCCTATATAGACAGGGATAGTTTAACAGCTCGGTGTCTTTTTTTACTGTCTGAGTCACATGATGTTTTTAATAATTTTCTTTTATCCTGTCGCCAGTAAACCGAGGGGTTGCAGCCCTTTTAGCTTTAAGTAGAGCCCGCAAAGCAACTCTTCGGTGCAGCAGGCACTGAAGTTTAACAAGCACCATTACAGATTTACAGTGTATCTACATTCTCCATATAAAATGTAAACGCGCCATTTGTACTTTACTCATTTGTAGTTCTCTAAAGAAAGTGTTCTTAATGGTAGTAGGAAACCAGCTTCAGGTCTTCCTTCCCTGGTTCACACTTTTCCAGTTAAAAAAATCTCCTTTAGGCCGGCACCCGCAGCACAGTGGTTACAGCGCCAGCCACAGGCTGAGGTTGGTGGGTTTGAACCTGGCCGGGGCCAGCTAACCAACGACGACAACCGCAACAATAACAACAAAAATAGCCAGGCATTGTGGCAGACGCCTGTAGTTCCAGCTACTTGGGAGGCTGAGGCAAGAGAATCATGTAAGCCCAATTGGAGGTTGCTGTGAGTTCTGATGCCACCCACTCTACCCAGGGTGACAGCTTGAGGCTGTCTCAAAAAAAAGAAAAAAAGAAATCTACCCCTCAAAATATTTATTTCAATAGGGAAAAAACACTCTTAAGAATCCAATTCTTGGCTTGCCGCCTGTGGCTCAAGTGGCTAAGATGCCAGCCACATACACCTAAGGTGGCAGGTTCAAATCCAGCCCAGGCCCGCCAAACAACAATGATGGCTGCAACCAAAAAAATAGCCAGGCGTTGTGGC